AAAGGTGATCTTTGTAGAAATCTAGCTATATGGAAAATGCACGTTGATATGTTACATTAGCTCAACCTCACACCTTACAATGCCACAAGCTGGGTCAAAACATCGAATTTAATTTTTTTTCTGGGCTCAGCGCGGAAAGATATTTTCAGATCAAAGATACTTGCTGAGCACCAACTTTCCAACTGACTGATAAAAAATATAAGTCCACTCCTTGGTTTCCCTTCATTGTTACAACATGTCCATCCTTAAGCTCTTGAGTTGTTAAACTTAATCAGTGATGGCCTACCTGATTAACTTTCTAAACGTATATCTCAACTTAAACAGATTATTTTTGCAATAATTGTGACCTCAATAAAAGTAATGATGTAGAGTACGCCCGTAGGTTTTTTAAAAAGAAGGCGGTTCGATGCTCTAGCAGACTCGAATCCATCTCTTTTTTTCGCCTTGGTTTGTTTTGGTTTTTTATGTACCTATTCTTGAAATGACACTTTGCTATTCTTCTCGCGGTATTAACGCTGGCAAACAGCGCCAGCAAGTGAGGGACGAATTTCACAGCACTTATTTTAATTGATTTATTTTTTCAGGGAGGCAAAGCATCCTAAGATTGTAAAGGTGCTTGAATGCATCTCTATCCAGAATCAGCTGGCAATTGTGATGGAGTTCATGGCGGGAGGAAATCTTAAAGCATATCTGGAGAAAAACCATGGAACCGGACAGGGGAAAGATTTTGCCGTCAGATTCTTAGAGGATATTGGCTCTGCAATTGAGCATCTTCACTCGCTCAATATCATGCATAGAGACGTTAAACCTGAAAACATTTTTGTGAGTGTAATAATTTCACTGTCTCTAGCATAGACTGCACCATCTAGAGGTGAAAACATTATATTTATCGAGGTACAAAAAGGCTTCCTCTTAAATGCTGTGTTCGTTACCATCTTATGTAGTCATCTCAAGAAATTGACAAGTATTTTGTTTTTTTTCTAACAATGCGTTGGAGGTAATTTTGCACATCGCATTTTAATCGTCGTGATGTGACTAGTTTAAGTAGGTCTGTTCTTTGCGCCATTACTTCGTAGCTGTCAGCTGACCACACAGTACTCAAACTCGGAGACTTTGGTCTTGCTCGCGCAACTGAAGGGACACGTCAAACAAAAACCCAGATTGGCTCGTATCGCTACATGGCGCCTGAAGTGGTCAGCAGTGGGGGACATTACTCCAAGAAAGCTGATGTTCACAGTTTTGGTGAGCCTCGATGATGATATAACGGTGACTTGCTTGCTGTTTTTCTCGCTGTTTTGTTTGCCTGTTTGTTATTTTACCAAGACCATTCCCTATCTCTGAAATCAGATAGCCGAATATAGTCCGCTTTTTGGTAGGAAGTAGAGAAAAACCTTTAAAAATAAATTCGACGGAATTGCGATTACATTATAGTGTACTTCTGTTTGGTTTTAGTTAAATTTGGCTATCAACTTAGAATAGTTCCGATCCACAAGATATCTGCAATCTTTTACTTTGAATTGATTGTGGTTGACATCAATTGCAAGATTGTATCATTTGAACAAGCCAGGTAGACCGTTTCGGTTAAAGAATAGAAAGTTTCACGAAGAAGATCAAGGGACAACATTTGGACAAATTAGTTTTTAAAAATACTCCTTCTTTGAAGTCATTAAGTCTCATGTTAGCAATGCAAAAACGGGATATGTAGTAACGTCAAAAGCTTTTGTTCCAGTCTCAATGAGTTGATATCTATCTTAAGAGATACCTAAACAGTTAAAGCAAGATTCAGTGGGAAAATAACATCAAAGTTGCCTCATCAGTTACTCGTCTGTCCTTCTCCCACTAGGTTTGTGTCTGATTGAAGTGCTGAGTGGTAAGGAAGTGTTTGATAACATACTGCAGCATGAAACGGTGTTCAACAAGAAAATGGCTGGAGAAAATCCGACCATTCCGGTAACTATAGACTGTGAAGAGCCAGAAATTGTTTAGGATTATTGTGGAATCAGAATTATACTAATAAAAGTAAATCGTGTCACTCGTGAAACCTTCAACTGGACTTAATTTTCGTTATTTTCCATATGAATGAATCATCATTTAGTACTGCAGGACACTGAATCAATAACTGTTGATAATGGTGTTTAAAATTACAATATGTACGTGATACATCATCATTCTTTGTCGTTTGATTCTTTGGCGAAATCTTCTGTTAACATGGACTCACATTTTTCTTTCAGGGTATTTCTGTTGAAGAATTTGGAGAGGAACTTGCCTTAAAGCTCAAGAAAATTATGGTCGAGTGTCTGAAGCCAGAGAAATCACGTCCCGAGATGCATTTTGTTCTCAACATACTGAGAGGGAAAATATCCACACGCAAAAATTCAGTGGAGCTGTACTGCGTTGGAACTGGGACAGGCACAACAGGTATTGATGCAACGACATGGTTTTGGTCTTCGCGGAGTAGAGTAGATCTACTCTGCTTTACTTATCTATAAGCCATAACGTTGCGACCCAGTCTAGAGAGTAGTGAATTCTTCCCTCATCTCCACCTTTCTGCTCTTAGATCCTATGACTGTAAACGTACTGTGGCCTTTTATGCCTATCTATTTACTCATGAAAGGCATGTATTAGTACAGAGTACTGGCGGTCCTTTATGTTTGACCCACAAAAAGTTGCCATAGTTCCGTGTATTTTTCTCAGTGCATGTTAATCATCATAAAAAGGATATAGTTCATATAACTAGCGACCAATTCCGAGGCTAACGCTGAAGGATGAAATAATGGCGACCACAAACACCACTCAACCCTCCTTACTCCCCATACCTCCATGTTAGGTGTAAAACGCACTTCAAAAGGAAACATAGGAAATAATGAACTGACGTGTACTCATAGCACAATTTAAAACTGATTTCAGCCGTCCTTCATGGCCAGCCAAGCTCCTCTGCAATTGTATTTCACAAAGGGAAACCTTTGCTTATGGCGGATGTTGGAGCCGGTGTCGTCAAAGCTTGTAGGGAGAGACTTGGTCAGTAAAATTCTCTATCCTTCTTCCTTGATTTGTTCGTGCTTTTTTAGACACCCTTTTATTGCATTCCCAGCTTACAACGAGTTCCCAAGGAATGTTTTTATCACACACAACCACCTGGATCATGCTGGTGAACTGCCTTTGCTCTTCGTATTCGAGAGCAAGCGGAGATATTTGGCTGGCGAACCTCGCTTGAGGGTGCTGTCAGGCCCAGAGGTGCAACAAAAACTGAAGACACACAGATTGGACGAGATGCTCAGTCTATATACACCAGTAAGTCATAGGTCACTCTTACACTCTTTCGAGTATGATGCAAACAAAGGTAACTTGCACAAATGGAGTGACATTAATCAAACTGATTATTCTTTGTGACTTTTTTCTTCGGTGGAAAAAAATTATAGGAGAGCTGCTTCCTTGTAACATGTCTAAATGGTTCTGTGTTAGATGTTTCATGCTTGAATCATTCATCGGTGTTAATATTGCAAGAGCATGCCTTTTACAAAACCAGTCGCGAACAAAGAACATCAAATACCGACCACAGTGATATCTATCTAAATAAATTAATGCGTTTAAATTCTGGTGTAAGGGTTAAGTAAGTAAGTTATAGCCCACTCTCTGGAGGAATTTTCTGTTACATCAGCCAAGTTGAAGCAACGTATGAAACATAGCAGTTAAAACGTGTTTTTTTTTTGTTCTTCCGTGCAGGAACAAGTTGCAGACTGGCTGGCGTGTGAACAAGATGGAAGTCCAACCTACTTGGATGATGATAAACAGTTTTTTATCAAAACTTACAAGACGCTTCATAGCGAAATCTGCTATGGTAGGCTTGAACGTTTATCAGAATAATCGTTTGTGTCGACAAGACAGTAATAGTATGTTTTGATACAAGGTGGCTGAAGACATGGAGGTCTAAGTCACGCTTTAGAATCAACGGTTCCCTTTTGAGAAGTGGGTTAGGTCATAGTGTTGTACTGTTAGGCAAGACCAGCTTAATTCTCACATCTCCATTCCGGGATAGAATTAAGCTGGAAGGAATTTAAATGTCAGCCGGTGAATTACAAGCGAAATAAGTTTTTATTTTAAAATGTCGCTCACTTCTGATAGTCAAACCCACTTTTCATATTTGATATTTCAAGTCTGAAAGCAAACGAGACTGAGTTTTCACTTTAAGTTCTTTTCCATAGGATTTGTGCTCTACTTCAAAGAGGAACCAATTCTTGGTTACTGCGTAGACTCTGGCTTCAGGGAGGACGTGTTCGAGTTCTTCTTCCAGGCCTCCACCGTGATTGTTGATGCGAGGGACAAGGGCACTGAGGAACACGCTTCGGTGGGTACTTAATTTTCAGGCGTACAAAATAAAGTTATAATTTTCTAAATAGAAACCATGAAACGGCAAAAATTTAGTTATATATACACTGGTCTGTTCTTAACTGAAAACTCTCCACCTGAAAAACATGGATCTTGCACAGTTAAGTTGGAGAACCTTAATACAAAGCCGTATAACCGATGTAAGCCGAATTTGTAGAAATCGTTCAAGGTATGTCTTTAGATTTAGTTGTTGCTTTTATTTTAGGCCGCTCAGCGGCGCAACTGATGCAATTAAAGAGATAAGAGAATAAATCACGTTCCCATCAGTTGCCTTATTGTGCTCGCGTATGCTAGGTTTGTGCTTGTCAGACACTTTGAGGAGGGACCAACTTCAAGAGGTCTTTGAGCTTGCTGTGAACATAAAAAGCTTACCCACCGACTACCATTAACCAATCCTCTCTTGTTTTAGTTTGCAGAAGTTGTTGAATACGTTCAGAGAATTCAGGTAAGCGACTCTTAGCTTTTTACCTTTTTTTTGTTTTGTTCTGTTTCTAAGTTACGTAAGCTTTTACCGTTTACATAACGATAGTATATTTACCAGTGCGTCTTAGAGTCAACGAAGATATTTTCTTCATATTTGCCTCACTCTTCTTCAAAACATTTAAAATAAAACCTTACCTTGATTTGAACCGATTAAACTTCACTAGTTTGCTCCAAAGATAGTCGGGATACTGGGTACAAGGATGAGACGAATCTTATCCTGAGGCGTGGTGGTGAAGACGTGTTGCAGTATCATATTTGCGAGTCTTGTCCAGAACAACTCGTGATATATTGTGCCGTGTCGAGTGATACTTTGACTCCACGATTGAGAGAAAATGTAAAATTACCTTCAGTTTGAAATAAAGTCTCATTTTTGCTCAGTGACTCTGAACACTTTGAACCATGGCTCTATCTTTATGAATTCTTTAAAAGTGTGAAAACCAGATTAAATTCGTTACATATGCGAAAGGTTTCCTGAGGCACAACCTGGTACTGCTTTGTCAACTAAATTGTACGCAATTCCCGTCGATTTCTGAGATGTAAAACTAGTCGATCATTTTCCTTTGTGTTAGCCTCTGAGTTGGACGGTCCAAATGGACGATTCCAGTGGTGGTGCTGAAAGAAACTAGGTTATGTCTATGTCCAATATTCACTTTCTCGACAAAATCCTAAGTTAAGTACCGGTAAAAGGTTTGGAATGTTGCGTGACAACTGAAAACCGAGAGAGGCATTATCTCTTATCGATACTAACTACCAACATATCCACGTTAGCTACCTTCAAGTAGAAAGTTTGTAGTTAGGCTGTGACTGTGTTGACCATTCCCCGACTCTAAACATTATCTTCTATTTTTTGCAGCCTTCAGACACCAAGGTGTACATAACTGGATACGGTGTCGACGCAGAGTACCCGGAGGAAGGACTGACAGGAGTAGAACAACTGCGAGCGGATCAATACATCACACTCTGGGATGAAGAAACCAGTGGCCGTTAGTTCTAAAAACCAAATCAAGTTCCTCTAGGATGAATAACAAGCGCTCCCATTTTGAATGAAGTTTACCAAAAATCTCATTTCATGCTCTTTAACAATAGGAAGACCGTATTTATTTTAGTGAAATCTTTAATTTGTTATGATTAGAGATATATT